CTCCCCCCCCCCCCCCGCGGCGGGCTAACTGCCAGGCACTTCACATGAAGGAAGGGCCTCGAGACGCAGCTCCCAGATGTTCGCGTAATGTCGACCATGTGGGCGTCAGGTGAATGAGATCCACGCATTAAAGACATGCATCAGACGACACGCACTTAGGAAGCAGAGGGAGTCTCACACCCAACAATCTGTGTTTCAGAAAGCGGCAAATAAGATGTGTACAGAGGCATCTTTGTTTCGCATGTTAGCATGGTAGCATTAGCTAGTTAGCACTCAACACAAAGTAGAGTCGAGGCGGATGGGAATGTCATTAGTTTTTGCCTGTTGTCATCAACCAAAGTAATAAAACACATGAATGTTGACCCATTGATAGAAATGTAGACCAAAGTTATTCGGCTCATCCTGTGGGGAGTATGAATGTCTGCGTGCAGAATGTCACCGTGACTTCCTATCCAATAGTTGTCGAGACTTTAAATAAAAGTGGGGGAGCGTGAGGAGACCTCGTGGGATCATGGAAGGGTGTATCCTCTGGCACCGGGAATGCAGCTTCTTTGGGAAATTGGTAAACAGCTGATGGAATATTTGATTCTGAACCGAAGTGGTGGAACGACCAATCATGCCGCTAGCTAAAACTGATCAAATATTAAATGCTTCTACACCGTTGATAGTTTTGGTTTTGGTCAGTAAAATAGTTTTATTAAAAACAGAACAAAATAATAAAAACAAATGTCTGTTTTGGCTGATCTTCATTTCTTGCCTGACGTGCATTTTCTTACCTGGTGAACGGTCTGCACGCAGACCAAATGAATATCTTGTGTTTTTGATATTGGAAGCAATAATCTTGGACTGAATGAGCTTCTGTTTAAGTGACAGCCAATAGCTGGAGACAACATGCCATAAAAGTCTTCCAACCAGAGGTTGCTGTTATTACAGCCCAGATGAACATACTCGATTGTGGATGAGTAGTAGATTCTGCTGCCCCCTGACATCGCTGCAGACGGCCCGGTGGTACTATAGCTGTCTGTCCTTATGTCACTGATATTACACAAACCTTTGTAGGTTTCTGGTTGACGGACGTCCTCCGAGCCGCGTTCTGTCCCCTAAGGTTAATATTGCACCAGTGGGTTCATAGACAAGTTAGTTAGAATCAAACTAAAATCCTGATACAGTCTCACTTCATTAAGACGTTTGAATACCATTTTGTGGGCAATACATTAACAGAGCAGGATTGTGTAACTCGGATCACACGCACCATGACCGAAATGTAGGACGCTTTACGATTAGTCTCTTGAGGAGCCTCAGCACGACATCGACCATAACCGCTTCATTTCAAATGTTTTAAGGGTATTCATTAAGATTCAGCTTCATCCTCGTCAACACACTCCAATTAACACGTCCCATTATGCGTTACGGGCCGACCTATAGCCTCGCCGTGAAAAGAGATTAGATGTATGCGCTGCACGCACCCCTCTTTAGGACGGGGCGAGGCAGGGGGGGGACGCATTCGCGAACAAAGTGGCATATGCTAAGTCTATAAGCACTGACGGGCTCCCTGCTGGACCCGCAGCTCGTCTGAAGGGGAGAGGGGAGGAGAACCGGGCCGACGGCCGGGCTTCGGCTTCGGCGCCGCGCTCTTTGCAGGGCAGAGAGCCCCGTCGCTTCCTCCACAGCCCCGTGGCTGCATGCGAGTGACGTCAAGCAGAGCGTGTTCTGCTCTACCAAGGACATCTGTCTGTAAGCGTCTGGGGGGCCGCGAGCGTCCCCTCGGGCCGGAGGGGGGGAGGGAGGGAGGGAGGGCAGCAGGGCGGGAGGGAAGATGGAGAGAAAAGCCTTTGTTTAATAAACAGCAGAGAGGGAGAAGGGCAGGATGGCCACCACGCCGCTCCTCCCAGCGCGTCGGGGGCCGCCTCGTTCTGGCCGTCCTTTGGACATTTTTGGATCACAGAGAGACGAGCTTCTCTTTCTTCGGCGCAACGTCTCACTCGGGTCTTGATGGACATTTTTGACCCATCTACTATATTGAAAAAATTCCCACAGTGTGAGCCAGAACAATCACAATCAGCAGTTGCACACACACGGTCTAATTAATCCATTTTGACACACACACACAACTAAAAATATCAATAATGTTGTATGTATTTGACGTTTGGCTTTTCATTTGTTGTTGATAAATATAAATAAACATTAACATCCACTGCCCTCAAACGAGAGGTCTCGGTCAAATTTAAATAGAAGAATCTTCCGGGGCATAAACACCATGACACGAGCAATCTGATGAATTCACTCAATTTGATATCCGGCGCCTGGATTTGCATATCGATTTGTAGAATGAAAATACTTGTTTCATTTTTTGGGTGGTTTCAAGTCATTTTATGGGCATTAAACGCCGGCCGACGCCGCTCATTCTCAAAGAAGATTGTCTGCGTCTGTTTGTGTGTGGAAGCTTCCTGCAGCAGCGTCTTCTGTTAGCTGTAATCAAATGTTCGGCACTGATTAGCAGAGCCTTGATGTGAGCAGACCCTGATCCGATTGATATCACACTCAGAGATCAGCGTTTGCACCGTCCTGGCGTCCGCTCATGTGCACTTAGCACAGCGTTTAACATCTGGGCGACGGCTCTGAGCGGCCGCGAGACAAGCGTTTCCCCCCGAAATTGAACATATTTCCAATTTCACCCGGTTCGACCGCAACACGGTCACCCTGCATTTCTTTGATTTTTTTTTTTTGCATCAATCCTCCTGAAACTTCCTTTGCGGAGCAGCAGATTGATTATTTTGGTCTCCTTAAAAAATGTTCTACATCCCCCGACCTTTGCTTATAATTTGACTTTACAAGTTCCAGTCCCCTGCTTTGAAAGGGCACGCGGAGCAGACTGGAAGCACTGGTATTTAAGCGACTTCGGAGCGGCAGATATTTATGCGATACCATTGATCGGACCTGGCAAATGTATGCACTGTGCCTGTTACTCTTCTAGTGTGCAAGGAATCCCTGCAGCGACCTTTACGCATTTTGAACTTGCGCCGACGGCATTTCGGTCTGGAAAGCTGCGGAGGTTCTTGACTAAATCTCGACAACCCCTTTGGATCTCGGGCCCGTCGGTGTCCTCCTCACATTCCTTCATAGCTGCTGCTCCTGCTCCACAGCGCACGCACACACCTGTGTGCGCCACCACAAACATACTTTTATGTACATGTTAGAATTTAAATGCTGCTCAAAACAAGCCCCCCAAAGAGGAAAAACACAATCTATCAAAGCCCAGCACAAATCTGGCTCGTATCACTCGGGGGCCATAAAAAGAGGAAAAAAGAGAGAGAGGTAGATTCGGCGCAGCGGCAGCAGATTGAAATCAGAGATCAGTCTCCCCGGTGTCACGGCTGGCCGTTTTTACCGACTGGAAACGCAGACTGGGAGGGTTGCAGATGGCGAAATGAAGTCGTCATTTATCATACAGTCATAAATCTGAGAACGCAGGCAGTAGCCGGGAGGCCACGCCTGGTGCCAACTGCCAGGCAGCGATGCCGGCATCCTGGTGCCATCAGGGAGACAGCAGACCTCTCTCCCTCTTTACTCCATCCCTCTCTCTCTCAGGCTGCTCTGCAGCGGGACTCTTTAAGGTCAGGCCCGGGGAGATTTGTGTGTTGTTTGTGGCGAACGCCTAATAGGGTTAGCATTGATAGCATTGATGCTACATGGGCCATGTGGGATCGTGTTCGCCTCCGTCTCCATTCACATGGTGTCGTCGAGAGCCCGACTCCCCACGCAGACGACCTCGCGTGTCACTCCCACTAACCAGCACTGGTTTTAACTACAGCCGTCGTATTTTCACCTTTAAAAATCGGTCACATGAACAAGGTTTTTGGATGTTCAGTTGCCTGGTACTGCTGCTGTTATCCCCCCCCCCCCTCCCAACCCCACTACTTTGTGTTGTCAGCGTGTTTGAATCTTTCAACAGTTCCGCCGTGCTAAATGTGAAGTGGCAACACCCTAAAGGGCATGCCTCGCTGGGGGGGTTTTTTTTTTAGAAGGAAAAAAATCCATCAGAGGCAACTGCATGCACATTTTAGATCAGACTTTACACACCAAAGCAACCTTTTAACCGAGCGCCATCTGAAAGTAACATGAAATTTTCTCCCCCCCCCTCTGCACCCTAACCGATCAGACAACACACGTGCCTCACACAAACACCAGTGCCCGGCGCACACATGCTGAGAGATAACATAAAAAAGAACATGAAAGACATGAAAGCGCACATTGATTGTCCCTGTTCGCTTCAGCCCGGGTCTCTCTCTCCCCCTCTCTCCCGCTCTCTCCCCCGCCGGGCAGGCACGTAGGCAAGCTGGTGGGTAGGCATTCCCTGTGCTGTGGCCAAGATTGATAGGCACGTGTGTGTGTGTGTGTGTATTGTGTTTGCATGTTGGAGGGAGTGCTGACACCCTCTGTGCCACGGCCCCGGGGCCTCACACACCCACCCAATAGAAAGGGCAGCTCGCAGCAACGCTCGGTTCCCCCGCCCCCCCCACGGCCCCGCGGCCAGACATGACATTACCTCGGGCGGCGCCTCAGCACAACCTCCCCCTTTATATATCGCAAAAATCACAATGGGACCGTGTGACTGCACACACACACACACACACACACACTCGATCTTTGACAGAAGCTCTGTTAATGGCTGACAACCGGCTTCCATTTTGTTTGGATCAGGAGAGACAGATAGAAGAGGGAAGAAGAGGGATGTTTTAACTCCTGCTTTTCATCCTACTCTTGTCTCGTCGCTCACAGGTCTCGTAGAGCTCTAAAATCTCACTGTTTTGGTGGCAAATGCGCTTAAAATCCGAATTTCCTTAAAGTAACGCGTGTGCCTACGTGTCATTGTGATCCCCGAAAGCCATCGCACAGAGGCCACGGTGTACATTCGTACATTAATCACGGGTCGCTGTTGAATTTGTCGGGTCGGGTCGACGATGCATTCATCGATGTGTCTCTCGTGTCGTCCTCACCAGATGCAGCAACAGGAACTGGCGCAGATGAGGCAGCGAGACGCCAACCTCACCGCACTGGCTGCCATTGGCCCCCGCAAGAAGCGCAAAGTGGATTCGCCGGGGACGACCCCACCGGGGGCCGAGGTAAGAGGAGCCGCGCCCGTCCAGATCTAGTCCTTCTGACCTCCTCACTGCGTTCCTTGCGGCGATGACACATTGGCCGACTTGCTGCTAATTCTGTAATGATAAACTCTGTGACGACCTGGCAGCTGGGCTTTCTCCAAAGAACACTGTAACCCACTACATTGCATTCCTCTGCTCTTCCTCCTTGCATTGCTTTAGTTGTGTAGACAGCTTTCCATGGTAATTTCCATGGCCATGTCATCCCTGACTGTAAGTTCAAACATGGAGTGTTGCTGGATATGCAAAAACAATGAGTCACTGAATATCTCTCTCTAAGTCCGTGAATAATAAATAGAAATCCATTACTGCGGGTAGAGCAGTGGTTTCCGGTTCAGGCAGCTTAAGCAAGATACTTTTGTTTTTTGACGCAGGCTTCAGATGCTCCATGCAGTCACTTCCCAAAAGAATGCTCCAGACCTGTCATGCGTCTGCAGGTCCAGGTTTGCAGTAGTCTGAAGTTCCTAACATAAGTGCACCGACCGGCATCGCCCCTGGGACCATTAACCAACATCTACAATAGGCGGTGGTATTGTGCTTGAAGATTAGGGCAAAACCTCAGTGGAATGTGCTCGCTGACCAATAAACAAGCAGCCGGCTTTCCCCAGGGCTCCCAGATAGTTTAGCTTAGTTTACGTAGAACTCTTGTTTTACCTCCTTTAGGTTTCTGCCTGTTTCTATTATCTGCCCAGAAGCAGTAATCCGTGTTGTTGGAGAAACTAGCCTGTTGTCGGGGACATTTTAACAACCAGACCGGCACGCATTGGTGTTTGGACTGCAATATTGAAGCCTCGTGTTTTGCTCCTCTCCAGAAACTTAAAATGTTTTTCCAGGTCGTAATAAATCATCTGAGAGGTACGGTCAGTTTCTCCGTGACTCTTCCATGTATTTTGGTGGAAGATGGGATCACATCACAGACCACTCTGGACTTCCGCTCTTACAATATAGGCTCGTATATAAGCTTTTTTTCTAATTAATTTACACAGAAAATTCCATAGATTAGCGTGAACTTATATTTGTTTAGTTTTGTTGTCCAGTTGTCATGTAGATGGAGAAAGGAGATGGAGACGTTCTTGAGTGTTCTAATGAAAAGCTTGTTTGCGATTAGAGGGTTTTTTATTTGTTCAGCGTAAGCTTGCTAGTTTTCTCCTGACTACCGACCCTAGCTTTAAGCACCCGGATCAGATATGTAATAAGCAAAATAGATACCGGCAAAGCCAAATGATTGAGATGATATTGGCAAAAAGCATATGTCAAATAATGCTATAAAAGGTGTGCGGCCGTTGTTCCCATGTGTACAACGTGGGTGAAGATGAACCAATGTGAAATAGGCGATACCTTCCTGCAGGCAGCAGGGAGCGGGTCTCTTTTGAGGACGGCGTTCTTTGTTAGCCTCCCTGCCCCTCGGGGCTCCAGGGACCATTGTAGTCCCAAACAACTCATGCATGTCATGCTTAACCTGTTAGCATCAGCCAAGTTCAGCCGTCTTTCCAATGGCTCGTGACGTTGGACAACGTGACAAAGATGATGGCCAACATCTGCGTGTGGAGAGCGGTGACCATGTGACTTGCCCGCTCTGTCCTTAATCAAAGCGAACCGCTGCATTGTGAAGGGCCGTTTACTGTTTGAAGCAATGACTTCAGCGTCGTGTTTCTCCAGCACGCCGCCACACATGAAGTCATTCACAGTGGCTGCACCAAGTTGCATTTTCCTTGAGGCGGCTTGGATAAAAAATAAAAAAAAAACATTCAAATTCCACATATTCATCCGTAAATATGATGAATCTAACATAAGCCGGAATTCTGAATGTCAATTGGTCATTTTAATAACCCGCTTATCGAGTTGCATCGTTGCATCCTTCGCTTAGCAGCAATATGCTGCAGAGAAGCGTAGCAAAGCACCCGGGAAAAAAGCATAAATAACAAAATAAAAGCATTACTTCTGGTCCTTGAATGCAGTAGCAACCTCTTTCAGAATGTTTTACCCTGATGGGTATTAGCCTGCAACCTTCTGCTGCTTTCAACAAGAAAAAAAACAAAGCTGCCTTCTCAAACTGCTCTCCCAAATGCACTTATACAACATACACATGAATATACATTACACTGGAGTTGTTGTCTTCTTCTTCTCTATCCCTTTTTATTTTCCTGTCCTGTCCATGTTTAATTAGAGGTGAATAATGAAGTGGAGACTCCTACGGAGTGATGGCAGAGGGGGCGGAGGTGGAATCTTAACTTATTTTCACTTCGTTTTCACCTCCTCACATTTCTTCATTTCACATGAGCTGGAAGAGCCCGCGGCGTTCTCTTTCCCTTCTCCAGAGCAAAGTGAATGTGACTTTTCTAAGGGGGTCACAGGATGCCTGGAGGCCTGTGGGTGTTACTGGACTGTTGCCTGCTCTTAGCTTCACTGAGGGGCTTGTCATAGATTTCATCTCCACAGAAATGAGCCGGGGGGCCCTGGCCAGGAGCACAAGCAGCCAACGTTATGAAGGGCTCATGCTGATTATTTCCCTCTGACATCGCATCCTGAGCTTTCCGCATTAATCCCAGACAAAGGCAGCCCTTCAGTGCTGCGCCAGAGCTCAAATTAGGAGCCAGATAATGGCCTTGTTGCAATCCCTCTGTCGAAGTCCTCCTCTCCGTTACTGCCTCCCCTCTCCGGACGGCCATCCGGACTGTGGCGGAATTCAGGTGACACATTTTTGCTCCCTTCCCCCCCCGCAACCTGAGCCCCAGCCCCCACCACCCTTATGTTCTTCCACCTTTAATTTGACGGTGGCTTGGCCCGGCCCGGCGCTGGGGCCTGAGCCTGGATGCCGACTGCCCCACAGGCTGTGAAAGTGATAGCCAGTCGAGACCGAGCGTGTCTGTCTCCAGCCTGATCTAGTCTGCAGGAGGGAACAAAGGGGGCCTTACAGGGCTCCGCAGGGTGGATTAGTTCCAAGGAGCCAATGGCAGGGGCTGCTGGCTGGAAGGGGGCCCGCTGCGGCCCCAGCGGTGGGTCACTGCGCAGGCAGGGGGCCCCGCACACCACCAAAGCCCCCCTCCAGCTCCATAGTCCCACTGCCCGAAACCCCTTTCCAATCAGCACACGCGGGCGCTTTGAAGTCGAGCACAAGAGTCAAAGGCGGAGGCACCTTGAAGAAGCTGGAGAGGTGAAGCGCGGCGACAGGGGGCAGATGAAGGGGGACGGCAACGTGATGATGCCCTCAAAACATCAACTTGAAGATGTGGACACCATTACTGAAAGGGTTGAGCTATTTAAAAAAAAAAACAAGCAGGCTGGTCTCGTCCAGAAGAATAATAACGCGTTGTAATCCCCAGGTATGCCTTGATATCACTTCTTATGTAACGCAGGAGGCCTGCGGGGGGGGGGAACACTTACATTTCGTGACCATGACCATTTTTTTTGCATAAAAAAAATAAGTGCATCTTTTCCTCTAGCTGAGTAGTTGTGTAGTATCTCCCACTCCTTAGTAATAAGTCATTTATTACTCCTCTGCAGCCACAGTCTTTGTATATTGCACATGGAGGAGTGACGGTGATCTCGCCTCCTCCCGCTTTATTTCGGACCGACTCCCGCGGTACATCCGGCTGTTAGCCGCGAACGTAGAATGTGCCTCTACGCGCCGCGTCAAAAACACGCTAGGAGGAAAAATCGGTGACACATTTACGAGCCGAGAGTTATCGTCCCGGCGCTGGGGCCATTCATCACATCAAAGCCGCGGCGTTGTTTGTTTGACGGCGAGGCAACAATATCTCCAGAAATCGCCCCAGTTTGTACAGCCGCTCCCCTCCGATCCGTCTCCAACCAGCAGGCGCAACGCGAGGGGCCAAGGTAGGCGAGCGCTTTGCAACAGCGGGCATGCTCTATTTTATTTCAATTTTTTTTCCATTTGAATTCATTTCACCTTCTTTCTTTGAGGCTGTAGATCAGAAAGAAGGAGTGAGGCAGTGGAGTGAGAGGCAAGGAGAGAGAAGAGTGGGGGGGGGCACAAGGAAAACTGATGCCCTTTCCTCCAGCTAAATTAACAGGAATCACGTGGAAAACAATCTGAGTCTCCAATGAAGGAGGGAGGGTGGTGGTGGTAGGAGGGGGGGGGGGGACCATTAAAATTAGCCCCGAGCTATGGACTGCACCCAATATCACTAAAGCTGCACTCACTACAGATGTGGAGGCTGGCTTACAGGCAAACTATGCTCTGTTCTATAGCTACAATTAAAATCAACCTCGCTGCCAAAAAATAGGAGGGGGAAAAGAAGGGAGGTGGGGGCGGCGGGGGGGGTAAAAAGGCAGACATGGAACATCAAAGACAGATTGAAATGTGTAGTCAGTAATAAGAGTGGTCTCCAGGCCCTGAGGTTCTCCACGGTCCCCTTGTTAATGAGAAATTTTGACCTCTGGTTTGTAAGTTAAACTTGTAATCTCGGTTAATGAAGTAAATCAATCCCAACTCGGGAGTACTCGGGTGTCTCTCCCTTTGCCTTCTCCCGCCAACCTCCCCTCTGTCCTTCTCTCCCTCCCTCCCTCCCTCCCTCTCTCCCGTCCTTCCCTCCCTCCCAGTGCGCCGCCCGGGAGTGAAACGGCCAGGTCTTCAACCAGACAAACAGGAAACCCGCAGAGCGCGAGGGTTCCAGAGCGGGTGGAGGGTAGACGGGAGGCGAGGGAGGGGATTGGGGGGGCGGGGGGGGGGGACTCTGAGGACTAGGACCAAGCGGGCTGTTTGGTTAAGAGAGAAACTGGCCAAGTCAGTGCAAGCAGAAGGGACAGCGGGGAGGAAACCCAGTCGCTCCTCCTCCACTCTTCTTCCTTTCCACCCCCCCACTTCGTTCCACTAATCTGCTGGCGATAGTGTTTAGTTTGGAAAGTGGTGCCGCCCTGTTTGTGCCGTAAACAGTGCTGCTGTTTGTACCAGCACAACATGCCTCCATCCCACTTCCCTTGTTCTTCATGTTCAAACCAAA